GAACACGCGCTTGGTTAATTAATAAGCCAGCAAAAAACGTGTCTAATTGGTATGAGAATTGCCCAAGAAACGTGTCTAATTGGAAAGAGGTCTAGTTTAAGTGTCTAAGCGAAAGGTCGTGCCAACTTTAGGTGTCTCCGTATGTATTACGCCTTTTTATTAACTCGTGATTGCTAATCAACCTCTTTCTTAGTTGATTAGGTCATTTTTTTAATTTCTCTTATGAGGAAAAAAATGAGTGTCATTTCCTCAATTCAGAATCTACGGGGTCCATTCGCGGTTAAATCTTCTTGAGTTGGGTTAAATGTAAACGGGTGGGAAAGATTTAAAGAAATACAAGGAGCAATGTGCACATCACGATAACTACAAGGTTCTAAGATGCAACTTTACGGAACTTCCTTTTTAAACTTAAATTAAAATTCACCATATATATATATACCCCTGCTTCTGCCCAAATTATTGAACTTCTAGAAAATTGAGCTTCCAGTGGACGAAGCCTTATCTTCTCCATTTGACTGCTCTAGAAAACCCTAGTCTTTCATTTCCACATTCACCAATTTTACGAGCTAGCTTAGGTACTCTTCCTCAGTCTTCTTTCAATCTTAATCTGTCAGTTTATCCGACTTTGTTTAGTGCATTCCTTTCTGTTTGAAACTGTGAGTCTGCGACTGAATAGCTTTATCATCTATTGGCTAAAGTTTGCTTAGTTTGGAACTTAATCTCTGTGGCTTTACTGTTGCTAATATCATAAAACAAAACCTCACGCTTTCTGATATTTAGACACAATCCGTTTGTTTAAACTTTGAAGCTAGTTGCATTGCAGTTTCCAAATTAATTCGGCTCTTTTTACTAGTAATTCCATGGAGCAATTTCAAACTACAGCAGCTGCGCCTCAATCCCTACTAGTATCCATTCCCCTTTATTGGGCTTGTTTTAGTTTAATAATCAATAATTTATCCTTTAAGATAAGGCAATTGTTTTAGCATGGTTCCAACTCGCACTGACGCAATCTCAAAGCACTTCATAAACTAATACTGGAAAAGTACAGATTGGCAGTTCTTTTTCTAATGTGTAATCCTTTTAGTAATAGGCTCGAGGAACAGAAAGACTGTCTGATAAGAGGGAGGATTTAAAATGTCCGTGATTTTAGTTAGTTAGCTCTCCTTATATATATTTGCGGTCTCCTTGAAGTAGAACACTTAATAGAACATTTAATGATTATTTTATGTGTTACCTCGAAAATATTGCTCTTGGATTGACCATCCAGATGGATGAGGCATATGCACATCAATTGTTGAATTTTTCTTTTGGTTATTTTCTTAAAGATTATGGGCTTATGCTATAGTCCTTTAAAGTTTTGCTGCACAAGTTTTTTTCTTGAACTTCTCTTTCTACCAAAAAGGGACCAAAGCTATCTGTTGGGGATTCTAATTATTTTAAGTTACTGGATTCTAAATTAAGAATTTGTTCAGATTCAATAAATTTCTTATGACAAATACAACGTTTGGACCAAAGGAGTTTGACCAAACCCATAACGGCAGAGCTTGCTCCGCCCCTGCTACCAAAGGCTCTCCAAAAGAGTATAGATTGAAGTGTTTACTTTTGTTAGATTTTTGAGTTGATGCCTGTATGATTAGATCTCTTTATGCTTCCTTATTCTATGAACTTCTTTCAACCAATTCCCAGTTGTTAAGCATGCGAAATATGAGTCACCGGTATATGAAGTCACAGCATCAATAGTACCTGCATCCTAATTCAAGAATGTGCTTGCGTTTCAGCATTTATATCTTTAATTTTACTCACTGTGCGTGTGTATTCTTTTCTACATAATGGACTGTTTTTAATACCTTTTGTTTGGCAATGGTGCCCTATGCTGCAGACCTTTTTTCTTGAGTATGGCTGCGACCTTCACTTCAGTTTGTTCGATTGCTTCCACCAGCCAAGCAGTGGATAAGAAACTCATAAATTCTTCTGAAATTTTATCGTCATTCTCTGCGATTTCTTCGAGTTCATTAGGGGGCAGGAGAAAGAATACAGTTTTAAAGAAAAGATACGATTTCAAGATTCAGGCTGCGACCAAGAAGTTACACTTCAATCAGGATGGTGATGCCATTAGGAAGCTGCAAGTAAGCTTGATAGGAAATTCTAACTCATTTATCTTGGATGGACACCCCATCCTCTTGTCTACCCCATTAATTCTTGTTATTCCGTGGCCTTCCTATTCAGGCAGGTGTTGACAAGCTTGCAAATTTAGTAGGTGTTACTCTTGGTCCAAAAGGAAGAAATGTAGTTCTTGAGAGCAAGTATGGCTCTCCCAAAATTGTAAATGATGGTGTTACTGTAGCTAGAGAGGTAAACCTTCCAAACCCGCTATCTGATTGTGTTCTTCTGGTATTCAACTGTCAAAAGATGTGCATGTGTTGTGACCTTATGATGTATTGACCGCAATAAACGCTGAAATTGCTCTTGCTTTGTGCTTTTTCTGCATATTACTCATAAAGCTATTTTAAAAAGATTTTGTACTCCATTATTTATTTCATTACACTTGAAGTGCAGTATTCAGCCCAGTTACTATGGTTCAACTATGTGGGAATAAATGTGTTGTTATGTATACTCTGGGTTGCTCTACAGGTTGAACTGGAAGACCCTGTTGAGAATATTGGTGCAAGTTTGGTGAGACAAGCTGCTTCAAAGACAAATGACTTGGCTGGGGATGGCACAACTACATCTGTTGTTTTGGCACAGGGGCTCATAGCTGAAGGTGTTAAGGTTTGTAAGAAGTTGCTTGCATTTTGCAAGCTATTTCGAGGATATGATGGTGTTATGATTGATGTAGCTTCCTTAATGCTGGTTATTCAGGTGGTTGCAG